TATCCCAATAATACAAAAGTCAAGATTAGGCTATACATATTTATTACATATAATAACAGGAACAGGGACATAAGAATGGGGTGGAGTATGGTCAAGGCTGGACCATCACTCCCGAGCCCCGGCTAGCCAACGCCAGCCTCCTTCGATACCGTAACCTGGGCCACGCCCCTTCACAGTGGACGTGGACCCGACACGTCCACTGTGAAGGGGCGTGGCCCCGACAGGTGTGAAGGTTCCTTTTGAATTTAATTGACTTCTTTATTAATCAGCTGCCTGAATTTCTATCAGAGAGTGATAATCTGGTTCAATCAGAAAGAATATCACGTTCCAAGACACAGAGGAACGGTGAGGAACTAACATAAGCATGATAGGATAAGTTTGTAATAATGGCAAGAGATAAGGAGCCTGCATTTTAACGATACAGGTGATTCCTATTTCCTGTTTCTGTTTCCCATGACTGGAAACGTCGTATAATCTTACATTCCCCAACGCTTGGATGCTGGACTCTGCAACGGTCGACGCGACACCGTGGGCTGCGGCGACTGGCGTGGCGACTTAGCCACTGCCGCGATTGAATCGTCACGCAACCCTCGCCGTGACGTCGTGACTATGATTATCGTAATTTAAGCAAACAGCAAACAGATCAAGAAAGAAACATACCATGCACGATATCGTAACAGTTCCACCTTGTGTAAAGTCTTCAGAGTTACTGCTCTTTGGTTGACCACATAAGTTCCAGTGCTTTTTCGTACGCTGTTACTTTTTGTTTCTGCGACAAATGGCGTCCTCCATGTGCGTGGGGAATGGATCGCAGAATCACTGCCTAGAAAATCATGAAATTTCTAATTTCTTTTCCTTCGAGGTCCAACATATTAAACTGCCCCAAGAGATTATGCACTTTTTTATTTCAACCAGGACTTATTTAGCGATTTCATGTTCAGGTGCGCTATGAGGAGTGCATCCCGTGGATTCGTGCCTTCATTTACGAAGGTCAAAGCCATACTACGCCCTTCTGCTGTATCAGATTGCCATGAATGTCAGATTTGTATTAGCTGCGCTCTCTCATTGAAGCAAACCCGCACCAGTCAACCAGCACTACGGCCATTACGCAATGCGTGAGGTGTGCCAGGCATACTCATAGAGGTATTTGCTCCCATGGGAAGTGTTGAGATTTAGCCAAACAATTCCCCATAAACTGACCAGAAATGATAGACACATGAGTGTTCTACAAATTTTTCGCTGTCCCCCATGTGAATTGGCGGAGCAATGACGTAGCTGCGGGCAAGAAATGACCACTTCAACTATGCCGGAAGAGTCTGTGACTGGATCGATAAGGAAGGCTTGACAATTTCAGATAGGTTATGCTAGATATCGTGGATTGTTCGCGGTTTACCACCAGAAACTTCTCCCTCGCTCAGGCATCGAAGGTTTTCAGGTCTGCTGGCAAAAGTTTCGAAGATGGAGCAACTCAATTCTGAAGCTTTGTTGCGGAGTCTCATCATATCCGCTAAACAGCGCTGATCAAACTGATCCTTCTCGCTGCACATTGTCAGCAGCCAAATTATGGTAGATATAGGATCCCAAGAAGACCTCAAAACAGTCGTTGCTCTTTTCGACTGTAACAGCCGACGTTCAAGGAATCCACTTCTAAGACAGTCGTTAGCAACGAGGGTGTAATGGTGCTTATGGATACGAGTTCTTATTGAAATAATGCGATCGAGAAAAAGTTTCTGACACGACTTTCAGGGCACATTTGTACAAGCGAACAGCTTGTTCTTCTGCTACATTGAGAAGTGGAGGGGGAGGCGGCTTGATGACAAGAAGTGTCGAAACACAATGCCCGATGTGCTAGGACAACGAAATTCTCCGTCAGTAACTTGACATCAGATCCATTTGAAAGGACAAACGCATGCCTCGCTCTCCGTATCCTAGTCAAGCATGCATCCTATTGACGCGAAGACTTTATTGAAGAGGGATACATGGTCCAAGAGACGCTGTTCATCACTGTTACTCCAAACTCTTTGTAATAGGAATCGTTTGATCCTAATTGCTTTCAACTCTTTATGAGAATAATTAACCACTGACCATCATCGGCCTTATCATCGTCTGCTGCTTTCTTGGACTTGTAGTATTCAACCTAAAACCAAAACAAATCGTAAACTCTAACATACTGCTACTTCAATTTTTCTTATAAAAATAATAACTATACTTGATAGAAGGAAAAATAGTCAAGAGACTCCGAAATATTAGCACAACTATTCGAAGTTGGAGCTTTTCTGCCGTGTTCTCTTACTTTTTGTAGCGAATTCGTTAGAATCATAGGCACCAACCAGCAAAACGACTGAGGAGAAGAATAAATAGAAAGTAAGAATCTGCGAAATTCTCCAATCCTACGAAGAGCATTTTCGGCAGCCAGAAAGTGACGCGGAGGCGCAAAGGCATGCGATGAGATCACTGAGTTTCACTGGTGGGAAGGCGTAAAGGAGGATTACCGATAAAGTCGAAGATCGGAGAGGAGAAACTTACCTAGTATGAAGTCAAGCAGACCTCCTACGAGTGCAAATGTACGTGCAATTCGCAGCGAAGGATATGGCCCAGCGATCCAGATGGCGTTCCCCGCACGCCCACCGACTAACTAATCACTAGTCGCACGTTTATAAGGTTCGGCAGAGAGATCGTTAACGTTGAAGAAGGCAGAACCGATGATGCAGCATGCATCATCGGTTCAGCTTTCTACAACGTTAACGTTCATGCATGATGGCGTCAGTGCAAGAATTGACGGGAAAAGAAGAAAACCCGTTTCTCGGGCCCTAGGCCGCTTCGTATGGTTTTTATCCCGGAACCACTGACCACCTCTACCTAAATCCTAATGGGCTGCCTTCTAATAGTAAATCTTTCTTTAAAGGCGGTAGCAATCGCACCTGCCTCTCCCTTACCACACTGAAGAGTATAATTCACAAATTAAATCAATGGCGTCATCAAAACCACCGCACTCCACGCACCGTGGTCACTTAAGGACAAATTTGAAGGTGAACTCTTCTTATGGTGTCACATTGAGGAACACTTCAGAAGCTTCACGCATCTGTCAGGACAAGCACCTGACAATCGTGGTCTCGAAGACTGGCTAACGCAAAGGTGATAAAATCGCAATATCAAACCCGGCTGCGTATGGTACGCACGCGATTCGTACTGATTCCCTTGTCGTAGCTGCTTCTGCATAAGCAAAAAAAAACGCATAGGGAACTGTACAGAACAAATGGGCTGATGGTTAAAGAAAGATGGAGAGCGAATCGGAAGATGACAAAAAGTGATCCTATGACAATCACGACGCATATAGCAGGCGTCATCGCTTCTGCGATCGCATTATCGCACGATCTTTACGTATTTACCCATTCAAGCGAACTGCAAATCGGTAACAAAGCATTACTGTGGTTTCAGGCGGATGCCATGAGTATGCTTTTGTTCCATAGTTTAGCTAAGTTCATGAAAATTACTTATAAAAGATATTCACTCAAAGGGCAACAGATACCTCCTCCTTTATTATATCGATGTCATAGCTGAAAAAATCCTCAGCGTCAAGTTCACCGAAGCCTTCATCGTTCACACCGTCAGCAGAGCCTGTCATTAGTTCATTCCCAGCACCAGCACTGCTGTCTGAGATCAGTTATAAGCAACTGGCAGCTTATCAAGACTCAAAACATCCTTACTATGGATCACTACGTCTCGTAGATAACAACTTGGATAGATCCGGTAATTATCCGAGTACATGTACAACTTTGAACAAGCTTTATCTAAAGACCTAGAACTAAGCTATGGACCACAAAGTGGATAAAAACACATGAAGAGCTATGGCAGATCTCCTCATTTACATAATAACTACCAGAGTTATCACGTGAACGACAATCCTCGACCACAAACGAGGTAAGCACAGAACAGTCAAAAAGAGCCAGTTCATGGACCAAATGCATATGCCGTAGCTGCGATATCAATACAAGTATTATTTGGCCAACCGCAGCGACAAATAAAGAAGGAAAGTTTCTTGAATAAAATAATTGAAAGCACACATCTACCAAATAAGACATAACGAAATAGAAAGAGAGGGAAGTAAAACATGAACATATTATCTCATAAGAAAACGTCAGTTGGTTGGTCATGCGGTTGACTCGTTTGCATTGCTCACACATGGGATATATGCACCAGGTCCATTTCAGCTGAACGACTAGCACAACATAGCGATCACTAACAATAATGCTTTCAGCACCACTATAGATACAGGGATTGCATTTAAGATGTTATTAATGAAAGATTCATAGCATGCTGATATCAGGCACTCGAAATGGAGCTAGATATTGAATAGGCGGAGACGGCCCTATGAAACTCCACTATTTCACCTCGGAAACGCATCGTTCAAGAGATACGCTGAACATCTACTAGATCAAGATTAACAACGTCATCAAGAAATTACAAGAGAAACAAACAATGAGCGACAGCCCGATTAGAACTACATGTGTTCGCGAAATTAGAATAGTAACATATTGTTGTCGTGCTCGTGCTGTCGCTCTATAACATCTACTACTTGATGAACATTTTGGCCTACACTCTCAGTTTATAAATCTAATAAATGCTCTCGAAATTCGCAATTTAAGTGATTCTCTTGATCCAGCACATCAACAAAAAAATTGCGAAAAACAGGCAAAATCTTGAACAACCTTATATGGCTGAGCCTATCGCACAGCTTACGAAGACCAACACACCTAGGGTGATGGAGAATCCGTTCGCAGGAAAGTCGAGGAGAACTGCTCCAAACTTCGCAGAAGGAAGGCCGCCTTTCCTCTTAACAGACAAATTAGAATACTGCCATGAAGGAACACTTGTGGCAATCTGTCCATGACGAGCATGGATAAGGAAAGGAAAAATCCAGAAAAAAAACTGCCTTGCGTACGTTTCGCACTTCCGTACAGAATCATTCTCTCCAATGAATTGCAGTGAATGCAATTTTACATAGTTTTGAGCACGTCGCAGAAATCACAAATACGACTCGGATGCTCGAAAATTCTTACCAAAATGTTTCCGTGATGCGGGTGAGTTATGTGGACAGATGCACTTTTGGTCTTTACTGAGCACTCTCCCTGCCTAATGTTTCATCAAGAATGGATGTTTTTTGCAATTATTACTCTATCCTTCTTTAACGCCCTGTAAGAGCGTTTTATCTAGTCCCTTTTGGAAATGTTCAGGTAAATTACGTGAACCTGATCTGGATACAGCTCACCGAGTGACTCAAAGAAATTTGTTTCAACCGGATCCTAGATAATACCTCCACCTGAACTTACAATAGGATAATTCATGACACTTTCTAATCGCAAACACTCTCCCTCGTTCGAAACCCTTTGTGAAGACGATATACATGTGCTCTAACAGTTGCGAAAGTTCCGAGTTATTGCGAAATAACTGAAAATACTGCTTCGTGGTCTCTTCACACCAAAAATGCTGCAGCCCATCAAAATGCGACAGGAAAGTCATCTTGAGAAAATAACTAGCTCTAGGCCATATCCGTTGTGCCGATATCAAAAACTTTCACGACCTACCCACAACTCTAAACGGGCTCCACACGATCCATCACCACCATCAGCCTGGAGAGGGAGGGTTGTGGAATGTGGCCTTAACTTTATGTAAACGTCTGAACGAACGGTAAGTGCTTCGGTTGTTGCCGTCACGCTTTGTAGTAGAGTTCCCGTCAAAATCATTGAGAACCTCGCCAAAGACATTCACCTCTCATACTCCAATACAACATGGCCCCTCGTTGAATACAGAACAGCGGACGGTTGAGCCTGACCGACACATTGCGCTGAATAAGCCTTAGCTATTTCTAGTGTGTTGAACTTCCATGAGATAATCTGAATCGCCAGCCAAAACACACTTTACATTCTCTGAGCCATCAGGAAATAGGAGAGTATCCTAAATCCTTTGACCTCAATAAGTTGCACATGTACCGCGTCAAAGAATTGCTAAAATCAGCATCGGAAAAATTCTCGAATCGAACACCCTTGAGCCGTTGGAGAACAGAACCTTCATTTCATTTTCAATCACTAAGGAACGGCATTTCAATCACTAAGGAAGGCGGCGCCTGGAAAACAAGACGAAGCTTTACCTCTCTGCAACATTCGTCCACATACTGCGGACAAGACACGAGAGCAAAACTTCAAAAGTTCTACCATATTCCGGGCCGCCTGTTTCCCAAAAATGTCACCAGCGAAACACCATATATGTACCTTTGCAGCCATCAAAGTGAATGAATGATGGGTAGTTCGACAATCCGAACCATCATGAAAAGTTCAGAGTTTTTCGTCTCAAAAAAGAAGATTCATGCACAAACTACATGCGCGTTTACCGCTATCAATAGCAATATTTGTTCCTGGATTTGTCGTTTGTTGTTTCATTGCCGAGAAAGAAACTTGAAGAGAAATTGGACTAATAATAAATGAAAATAACTAATGACCACTTATTGTCAACGTCATAAATTGGTAATGAATGCCACCAAGAATTTCCAAACTGTGTAAATCACCAACTTGATTGTAAGGAGGCTTTTCAGCGTGCCATCCACTTTCTCAATTTCTTTCTTACTTTTGTCCAGCTCCTCCTTCATCTCCCTGTGCACGCCAGCAACGGTTGCTCGAAGACCATCGAAAACTTGGTCCATTTCACTGAATTTAGGAACATCACCACGATCCACTCAAGTGAACCAATGAGGAAAAAATTTAGCCGTCAACGGAAGCAGAAGAAGGCTCACCGCATGGCTTGAGTTTCACAATGTGTCGTATGAGCTGCACCAACTTGTTGCATGCGGGCAGCAAGATGAGCACGAAATTGTTCTTTGAGATGCTGCTCTTTAGCGTGAGAATTCCAACGCATGCGTTCCCACAAGTACAGCCCTCCATATGCTGCCGCAGATACCGCAATTACCTGTAACAACAAACTATTGTTCCAAACGTCGAAGTTGCTCGAAAACTTTGCCGGCAGATGAGATATGGCCAATTTCTAGAACGGTTAGTTCTAAGTGGATATGTTTGCAATCTACTTACCCGCCAACCTACAGCTCTGTACACAACTCCACCAACGATCAGCAGACCGATGCTCCCGTTAGCCAAGTAGCTGGCTGAGGTCAACACCATTTGAGTCATCATTGCATTTTCTTCGACAGCCTTTTGCATGGCCTCAACGTGCATGTCTTCATTGCTACGACCAGCATTTCTCTAAAATATAAAGTGCAAATTCCTGATGGGTGACCAATCATCGTTATCAATTCAACCACTCACCAATGCCAATGGTGTGAGCAAGTTCGTTTGAATAGCTGTTACAGGCTGCCCCGATCTATATGCGATAATGCGACGAATGATAGCCGATAAACCGAATGTGAAACGGAATTCCAGATCCTCGTGGAAATCCCTAAAATCTCTATGTAGATTCTTCCTCTCAAGAACTTGCAATTTAAATTCACTTAGTCAGTGCAGGTGCGTCAACACAGATGCTGAATTTGAACGGTGCTCGATATCTCCAAACTTCCTCTAGTTTATGTTGATAAGGTTCGGCTAAGATTTGTGTCACATACTCTGAAATGTGTTCTTACTCTGAAACGTGTTCCTTCAAATGAAAAATTCATTCAAAACAATGTCAACACGGTCTCAAAATCGCAGAGTAAGGGCGCGGTCATACTTTGCAACCGTCTCGCATTTGATGTGAAACAGTTAAGCATGGATAGGGAGATTTTACGAATGGGGATACGTATCGATCGCAAGATAGCTACGTATCTCCTCCACACTTGAACTGCAAACGAGGTGGCAGTCGCAATGTACAGTCATACCCTTACGGTTTGAAATGGGTTCTCTACTTAAGCATCGATCTGACACATCACGCGTTCACGAGGAAAAAAGGTATACTCTACAAGCCACACTCCGAGTTTAGTGTGGACTTCTGCGTTTGAAGTCATTACCAGCTCTTTGATATGAACTGTCACGGAAACGACAGTCAAATTTATTGCTTTTCAGCACAGGAGCATAAAGCGGAGTCACGAAAAGGCTTGGTTAAGATTTTTAGGACTAAACTCAAAAATGGAACGAAACTTACGGAACATATCATTCTCGAGATTCCAAATTCGCGACATCAATCCACCCGTGCATCTTGCTTCAAGGTCCGAACTGACACACTTATCAGTGAAGTCAGCTAACGCCTAAGCGGCGCTGTTTATTTAGGTATGGCAAAAATATTAGATAAAAGTTTCCTTTGACAAACACACCCGTTTATATTCGATTATCCCTTCTTTTGTGTCCATAAATGGCATATTAAAGCGGTCTATGATAGCCTCAAGCCTCATTATTTCTTCACTAAAATCTGCGGAAACCTGCAACAAAAACAATGCTATTGAAATCCATTGGTAGAGCTAAGCTATCCGTCCGTCAAAGTAATTACAGCGCAGAACTAAAAATCAGATGAAATATACCTTCAAGTGGACTTCAGCTCTGAGACGCTCGGTTTGTTCCCGGTAGGCTCGTTCGAATTGCGCAAAATTGGTTCGGCAGTTATTGAACACAATAGTACTGTTCTGAAAGAAGAGAAAAATAAAGTTAATTGTTCGCAACTTACCAGTTCTTCTATTGGTAAGCTTCTAATATAAATGGAATACGAGTAGGATGGAAACAGACTTGAAGTTCCTTCTCCAGGAATTCCTTGTTGCGATTTGCAGCCGAATAAACCACGTCGACATTCGCTCGCATTTTTGATATTATCTCGTTTGCTCGCCGATTATGGGCTTCAAATTTCGTTCGAATGGCTGACCTGACAAATTAGGCTGCACTAACTGAAGCACTAAGGAGATAAGGAAACAATCGAGACTTCGAACACAATGGACAAGAACAATGAAACAGCTAAAAGCACCTTGAGATGCACTGCTCAAACTGCTTTTCAAACATTTCAAATTCCATGGCTCTAACTTGATGACCATCAACTTGATAAGCGGTCTTTATCAAACCTCTGGCCTTCAGACGTGAGTCAAGTACCTGAACAGAAATGATTTTTCGATCAAACACCTCCATAAAGATTAAATAGTGGTGCAATATCACTATCTCCCGAAGGGGTAAAGCTCAGAGTGGGAAAAGTATTTGAATGATAAAATTGTTTTTGCTTTCTCAGCTGAATAACATACCTCTCGTGAAGAAACGAAAAAAATTCTGTCCTTCACATCACGGTCAGTTGCCACCTCTAGCTCATTTACAAGAAATTGGCGGAACCGGGTCAAATGTTGCTGTTTTACCTAGAAGTTGAAAACTACAGCGGAAAATTCAAATTAGGGGATAGCAGAAACAAACATCATCAATGTGCTCAGACTCTGCTGCACTCGCGTCCCAGCGATTATTCAGAATAAATACGTTCGGTTTGCTCAGCTTCTTTGCAACGCGGTAGAAGAAACTTTTTTCCTGAAAAATTTAAGGAGATTTCGACAATAATTACTGACGCGACCACAACAAGTGCAGTCTTGGAAAACATTCTATGAAAGCAGGAAAAGTTCCAACACATACCGCTTGCGTGAGCGTGGACTCCGCATTCAACACAAGCACAAACACGTCGGCATCTAAACAGTGTTTATCGATCCAGCTGTCGAATTCCGGAGAAAGATCGACACCAGGACTGAAATGGAAAACTCTCCTCCACCAAATAATGCCTTCCTGACAGGATTGCTTTAAGTTTATTGTGTTTTTGCTCACCAGCGAGTAAAACTAATACTAATCTTTCAAAAAGGTAAGAAGCGAAAGATCAACTCCAACGCCCAAGCAACACATTCTCCTGCCCATCTTGGTTTTCCCGTTCCCGCGGCCATAGAAACTGAACGATGAATCTCTTACGCAAGCTCCGCCTATCTTACACAAACGCATCTTATTTGAGCATGATGAGCTCGAGACGGTTACCTTTTTTCTCACTCCTCCTAGAACCATTATTTATTTATTT